AGATGAGAGTCAAAAAAATAAAATCGAATAAAATAGGTTGACATTAGCACCCACTCAGAAGCTGGTTGGAGTTTTCCCTTTTAAAGGAAATGCCTTCATCGTATTCTAAGTACCAACGACTGAACAGCAAATTGGTATGATAGATGTGGTTACTAATATCTCGCTACAATAGGTACCCACATCATTTTTCCTTATATACTAGTCCGCTTGAATGTCACTTTAGTCTGATTCACCACGACTTCACCTGAAGTCTTTAACAATTTCTTAGTGTCTTAATTTACGTCTTGTGGATGCAGTCGGTTTTTGATTCCAGTATTATATTTGTCTTGTCTTAATAATGAACGTTCAAAACTATGTAATCGATCCTGACCAGACACCACGACTTCAGTCACTTTCTTGCTGACATGACCTGACTTCCCTCTCTTTTCTATAAATATTTTCATGGCAACTGCACTGACGAGCCTTTTTTTTCTTCTCTTATTGCCTCTACTGCATGAATTTAAACGTGCTACTAAGTTGGTCCTTTTGCTGTTAAAATAGCTAAGCGCGACTTCCACTTCTACTCTAACAGTTTCTTTTCTCGTACTTCTCATCTGTGGAACTCCTTTCCGATTTCTTGCTTCCCTGATAACTACAATTTTACAAATTTAAAGGCAACGTACCATCCTCTGTTTGCTTGAAATCTGTTCTTTTTTTTTGTCATTTCTTCAGTCTTCCCTATTCTCAGTCTACTCATTCTTTTTACTTTCACTCCCTGGAACCCTAACCCTGCATTCTAATGGAATTACCACATTGCTCGGGGTGAAATGATTTAAAAAAAAACTTAACGAAAGATATCATGAACAGAGCATGCGAGAAATGATGAAAATGTTAGGACAGTATGATAACAAATAAACTTTAGCTCACAATTAAAAAAAAAAGGATACGACGGCTTAGTGAATTTAACACACACAGGATACGTTAGAAGTAGAGAAAAGAAACGAACATTTGAGCAAATTGCGAAAAGAATAAGTACAATCAATATAAAGATAAGTAAAAAAAAGGAGAAAGTACTGCTGGGAACAAAAACAGACATGAAGCTGTGGAGGACAATGATTATTCATGGCTTGAATGAATACGAAACACGGAGAGAAATAGTTGAAAAACCAATATGCTAGGTTAGATCCACAATTACTGTGCAACTATACTAACGTTATTAGTGATTATTCCAAACAATGAATATTAGGAGAATCGTTAATAGAGGTTGTTCCAAAAGTCACCTAAGTACTAGATGTTTCAAAAGTCACCTAGGTACTGGGTGTTCTAAAGGTTACCTAGGTATAGTATGCTCTAAAAGTCGCCTACATACAGGTTGTTCCAAAATTCAACTAGGTACTAGATGTTTCAAAAGTTACTTATATACATGTTGCTCCAAATGTCACCTAGCTACTACGTATTCCAAAAGTCACCTTAACTACTAGGTGTTCCAATGATTACCTACGTACAGTGTGCTCTAAAAGTAATCTACGTACAGTTGTTCCAAATGTCAACTAGTTACTAGATGTTTCAAAAGTCATCTACGTAATGGTTGTACCAAAGGTTACCTAGGTATTGAGTTTTCCAAAAGTCACCTATGTACAGTGTGCTCCAAAAGTCACTGACGTATACCATGTTCCAAAGTCACCTAGGTACTGGGTATTCCAAAAGTCACCTGCGTACAGTGTTCTTCAAAAGTCACGTACATATAGTGTGTTCCAAAGTCACCTAGGTACTGGTTGTTGCAACAGTCACCTAGGTACTGGGTGTTCCAAAATTCATCTATGTACAGGCTGTTCCAAAAGTCGCCTAGGGACTGGATGTTTCAAAAGTCACCTAGCTACTGGGTGATCCAAAATTACCTACGTACAGTGTCCTCCAAAAGTCACCTACGTACAGATTGCTACAAAAGTCACCTACGTATAGGTTTTTCAAAATGTCACTTAGGTACTGGATATTCCAAAAGTCACCTGGGTAGTTGGTGTTCCAAAAGTCACCTGGGCAGTGGGTGCTCCAAAAGTCACCTAGGTACTGGGTGTTCCATAGTTCACCAAGGTAATGTATTCCAAATGTCACCTCGCTACATAGTATTCCAAAAGTCACCTAGGTACAGGGTGTCCCTTAAGTCATCTAGAATGGGGTGTCCTAAAGGTTAGCTAGTTAGTTTTCATAAATTTATTTCATTTTTTTTTCCAGAATTTAGATTAACATATTGAAATTACCTATTTTCTTATCTTATGTTTTAATATCCAATCTAAGTTCTGAAAAAAAAATAAAATAAATTTATTTGTGGAGAGAGAGTTAATTGTTCTTTTTATTTATTAATCAAACAGAATTCTTCTAGTTCCACATGCCATGCCTCTTCCAGATCTCTCAGTTATCTCCCTTTAACGCAACTCTCCATATTTTTTTTTCACCACTGAAGTAGACAGGTATTGAACTTACAACTCTTTGAGTCAAGTCACTGTATCCAACCAACGCTTTTATCCACTGGGCCATGTGCCAACAAGGAGAGATGACTGGGACATGCGGAAGAGGTATGGCACGTGGAACTAGCACAATCTATCCCGGTGGACGAAATAAAGGGTTCTGTTCGAAATTCCAATCACCTAAAAAACGCTGGAGCGTACAACAGCAGAAACGTCGTGAGTATGGCAATAAAGATGAGGATACAGTCCTAAAAATGCAAATAATTAGTTGTTTTTTTTTTTAAGTGGCTCAAAAATCGCCAGGCAAAATAGAGGTTTCTCTTAAGTCCTATACTTTCCAGCCAACTTTAACATTCAAAAATTTCGATACAGTGTCAATCGCTATCTCCTGATTACACTTTTCTCTTTCCGCTCATTATTAATGTTTTTTATCCTAATTTTTCCACATCCAGTAACTCCTTGCGGCTTAGTGGCTTTACTGTTTTGCTTGGGACGAAATCGAGTAAAAAAAATGATCTCCCGTTATTTTTTTATTTCCCTTTGCTTTCTGTTCAGCAAAATCTGTTATTGTTTCAACACACGGCGCCTAGCTTAAGGCAAGTAAACGTGTGTATTCAGTTTGCTTTCTGATGTTAAGTGATACATAACATGTATTGCGTTTATATTCCGACTAGCAGCATGGCCCGGCGTTGCCTGTGCTTGATTCAAAAATCGTACGACTCATACAGCAATCGCTACCACTTGACTTTAAATATTTTTGCCCTTCCTTGCTTTTTCCGTGCTGATGTTTTTACATGCATTACTTCTTGCCTATCTCACACTGCGAATTTTTTCTAAGCTCTATACTAAACATTAAATCTGTTACGAAAAAAGAACTAAACAAAATGAACACAAAACAATCAGCTTTAAAAAAGGACTCGTAACTGGAAGAACCGAATGAAAAAAGAATGTTAACAACAAATACTTTTTCACACCCAACCAGTTCTGCGGAATCAGAATCAACGTTGAGTTTAAGCAAGCGAATGAGCCAATTGGAGTAAAGTGCCATGCAGATTTAAATTTCTCCCACTTGTGACGAATGCAGCTATCGTTTTTGTTTTTTTTTTTTTGCATGCTAGCATGCTAGTTAAAATTCTTGTCAGTCAGTTGTTGGCTCTCACGCTGGCCATTAAAATCTTCCTGCCTATTCGTGGCAGCCAGCTATAGGCTCTCACTCTGGCCAGTAGAAAATGGCCGCAAACTGCATGAAAACTGCTAGAGAAGCATGAAAAAATCGATTATTTCCACTATCGATGGGAGTTGGGAAATGCAAAGTAGGTCTTGGCCTTCCTGCTAACTTAGAGCATGTGCATGTAAATTTTGGTGCAAATCCGTCGAAAATTGTGGCTGTGCATTCGTTACACACACACACATCCTGCCTTTTATAGATAGAGATTCATGATGGCAATGTTCTTTGGAGTAGATGAGCAATTCCACACCAGTCATTTTTTTATTATTATTATTGCATTCTGCCTTTGTTTTGGGTAGTACAAGTTCTTCCCAAATTTCAAACGTAGATGTCAAGACACAACAATTTCTTTTTTATCAGCCGATGCAAACAAATGAGGTATCATGCAAATCAGAAAAAAAAATATGTAAAAGTGCTCATTGCATGGAAGGAAATCAACGCAACACGTGAGAAGTATCAATGAAGGTTTTTTAGGACTAATCACATACTTGAGGGCCACCGGAGGACAATTGAACCATATTTGTGTTCTCTTTTTTTATATATTTCCAAGAGTCCTAATTAAAAAAAAAAAAAGATGGTTTTGTCCTAATTTGATTGATTGGTTGAATTGTTTTCTACGGTTTATCAAGCCTTTCAAGGTTATTTAAAGCCAGAAAACTTTTTAAATTGTAAGAATTTTATTTTTAGATAATAATGGTTTAGTGATACAAATCTTACTAATTAACCCATAGCTGTGGGAGAAGAGGTGGATTCATATCTTTCTCAATGGTATTTGCGCTTAAGTGAATATAATGAACTCTTGCAACGTTGTCTTTGTTCCAAGTAGCCGAGAATTAGGAAGTCCGTAGATAGAAAGAGTATCGAAGGACAAAAAGACTGCGTAGAGGAAACAAAGAAGAAAAGGTTATTAAATACTCATCCACAGAACGACAAAAATCAACTCTAACTTGTGATAAATATGGCAACAAAGATGAGGACAATAATCTGAATAATGTAAATAGTGTACATAATACCTCATCTCAGAAATATAGACAGATATATATATATATATATATATATATATATATATATATATATATATAGCTATTTTATTGTTATACGTTATATCAAACGGAAAAATGTGAATAAATCAACTACTCCTCAAATCCTAATCTAATGTCGCTACTTGATATATTTTTAAGTACGGGCAGTCCACTGTCACGGTAGTAAGGAAAAGCGGAAAGTACGCTGAGTCCTATTCATTAACACCATCCAAACGGGAACTGGAACTCGGCTCTCTGATTAACAATTCCGAGCCATTATCCATTACACTAACCGCAAATCTAAGCTTACAATGCGGATATTCCCAAGTGGTAACCCATTTACGTACTGACCAGGCTCGACGTTGCTTAACTTCGCTGATTGCACGGACACCGGTGTTTCAACGTGATACGGCCGTAAGCAGTCGTTGTCCTGATATGCCACATTCTACTGGTTTCCATCTTGATGCCTTTGTATATACTTAGTTTTTCAGACGTTTTCAAAGATGAGATTTCGTCGGCTGGAGCTGCAACTTCTATTATTACTTTTATTTCCTTTGATTTCTGGCGTTTACACATTCCTTTCCGGGTTCCGCCCAGGGACCTAAGGTTAGAAATGGCGTCAAGACACTTTCCATTGACAAAAAATAAAAAAATACATAGATAAAGCCCTTCGTATAGTGTGGGCTGTACTTGTCAGAACAATTTTTGTATCTCTTTGAGCCATGGGCTTCCAGGAATCCCTTCAATTAGTCTACTGGAATTTTTTTCAACCAATCTTAGGGCTCCAACTACAACAGAGATTGTTGATGTACTATTATTATTATTATTATTATTATTATTATTATTATTTTCTTTGATTTCTGGCGTTTATTAACTTTATCACATTTCTTTCGGGCCCAAGATTTTTTTCATCTCAGGGACCTAAGGTTAGAAATGGCGTCATGACATTTTTTCCACTGACAAAAAAAAAAAAAAAAAAATTATTATTTTTATTATTATTATTATTATTTCCTTTGATATCTGGCGTTTACACATTTATTTAATTTCTTTCACTTGAATTCCAGTTGTGTACTTCATTTTCCGGGTCCCCTCAGGGACCTAAGGTTAGAAAATAGCGTCATGACACTCTTCACATTTTACAGGCAGAAAAAGCTCATTGTCATTCCTAGCAAAAAAATAAAAAAAAAAAAATTAATTATTATTATTATTATTATTATTCTTTGACCTTAGGTTTCATTTTTTATTTATTATTATTATTATTATTATTATTATTATTATCTTTGATTTCTGGCGTTTACATTTTCTTTGTGGTTGTCTGTTTTTTCTTTCCGGGCCATATTTGCTCAGGGACCTAAGGTTAGAAATGGCCTCCATGACATCTGTTCTTCTGCGCAATCAATCTGCCTCTTTTCCACTCACAAAAAATTACATAGATAAAGCCCTTCGTAAAAGTGTTCAATTTCTTTTCTTTTTTCAAGGTTTGACTTGAGACTGCCTTTTTTTTACTTCATTTGATGTTGAGCTGTACTATTTATTTTTCTTTGAGAACAATTTTATGTATCTCTTTGAGGCATGGACTTCCAGGAATCCCTTCAATTAGTCTACTGCAATCTTTTCCAACCAATCCTAGGGATTCAGAGATTGATGATGTATTATTATTATTATTACTATTATTACTATTGTTATTATTATTATTATTATTATTATTATTATTATTAAGTGGCTTTAGTGGCTGCATTATTGTTGTTTTCGTTGTTTAACCACTTTATCGTTTCCGGCCGTTTTAATCATCGGCTTTCTATAAGTGCCTATGTATTCGATAGTCTTCTGTAGATTTAAGACAGAAACTTTTATTCAGACCCCTGAGAAAATACATTGTTCCCATTCTACCTGAGGAAGTCTAGCGAGTACAACAGTCGAAGCACCATGGCTATAAAGCCGATATGTGGACACTCGTGCGATTAAATCCGTATGCAATATTGATTTCATTATTTTCCGTATTACTTTTTATTCTAACTCTTACTTTGATTGTCGTCATTGTTGCTTCTGTTTCTTTAGTGTCCTTGATTCTTTTTATTACAATGTTCTGTCCTCGTTTTTCGAGTAACTATCTCAGTTAATTTCCTTCGTATATCACATCCAATCACTTTTTTAATTCCTGTCTTCATTTTTAATCCCAATTTCATCTATACAATAAAAAAAATATAATCACATACACACATAAAAACATACACTGATGAGTCAAAACCTCATGACTAGCAAAGTATTGTAAGAATAACAGCTACTGTCTCGCGTGTCAAGAAAAGTGATATATAAGCAGGAAAACCGGCCTTGGTTCGTTGGGTGTTGCAATTATAAGCGAGAAGATAGATTTCGATAAAGATCATTTTGCTACGACCGGCACGCGAGATCAGAGCATTTTTAAAATGATAGCTTTTGGAAAGCTTAAGTCCAGCAAAGGTAGTCAGAGAAATGAAAAAAAAATCAATTGCCGACAAGATTTATCAATGCGAAAGTAAGTAAGTACGAACCAACAAAAGGGCTACTGCGGCATACATTGCCGATAGTGTTTAATCAAGGTAAAGGAAAGATTGCGTTGCAACGTAGACTAGGTCGATTCATTGCCCGAGCAGCCAGTACTGCTTTTGGATGAGATTTATAAAAAAAATCTTTCACTTAAAACAACTTTTCAGAAAAACAGGTTTCTCGGGTCCAGTAGCTGTTATCGCTCTTTCTAGTATAATATCTAGTGTTAAAAAGGAAAAAGGGAAGAATGCGTCGGAACATAAACTAGGTCGATCATTGTTTTATATGGCTCAAAACCAATCAAAGTCCTTGATTACCGACGAACATGCTAACGAATTTCCGTCGTCAGAACCGTACTTTTTATTAATGGAAAAAGTCTGTGTGTGCGTGCGTGCGTGCGTGCGTGCGTGTGTGCGCGCGCGCGTGCGCGTGTGTGTGTGGCAGCAATTTTTCATTTGTATATAATGGTAATGGTAATATTAGTCGTTTCCCTATAAGGAAATATTTGGTATTCATTGACCGGGCAGCCAGTACTGCTTTCAGATTATAAAAAAAATCTTTCACTTAAAACAACTTTTCAGAAAAACAGGTTTCTCAGATCCAGTAGCTGTTATCGCTCTTTCTAGTATAATAAATAATAAGAACGACATCAGCTTTTATGTTTGTCATTATTCTGGGGAAGCGATAGCACCAAAAATAAAAGCACAGGACCGTTGCATTCATATGGAGACTGCACTCCATATGAATGAGCATCTCTTTAAATATCAGTCAATAAGCAGCAGACTCATTCGGTGATAAGGTCCTTTATTATTGCAGCAACATAAATTTCACCTTCCATACAGCACGAGTTGTACGGGAGTGGCTTCAATCGTATTGAGCACTTAAAAAAGAATTTGTAACTGACACATTTGTCGCGGGTTATTGTTAGATCGTACATGATGGTAATATTAGGCGTTTCCCTATAAGGAAACATTTGGTATTCATTGACCGAGCAGCCAGTACTGCTTTCAAATGAGATTTAGAAAAAATCTTTCACTTAAAACAACTTTTCAGAAAAACAATTTTCTCAAGTCCAGTAACTGTTATCGCTCTTTTCCAGTAATGACGGCGGTTTCCTTCCTAGCCTTTTATTTGAAATAATGTGGAATGTCAACATCTTGATTGTGTCATTGTTCTCTCTTCAACTTACATGTCGTATCCATTTTAGTTGTTGACGCTGTTGTAGGTCCTCAAAGTGGTGTAGTTTCTGTTATTTGGTACAGTTCTTTGGCGCCAGTTTGTGAATCTTTAACGCCAGTTCACAATGTTCAAAGAGGGATGATCTTTGCCAAAGCCCTCAGGTTTCACTCTCTTAAAGCCTTTTTTCACCATTGATCTAAGGAAACGGTGGTAAACAACTGACAGTTTAGATATTTCTGAACGGGTTTGGCGCCATTCATGGCATCCATAGGAAAGTTTCGATCTGACGAGGCTCTTTAAGAAGATGAATCGAGTCATCTGGTTGGTGTTTTGATTTTGTAGCAGTTTGCGGTGTTGGATGAAACTACACCTAGCGCAGCCTATTCTATGTTCAGTTTCCTTTTCTCTAATAAATAATTTGTTATAACTGATGCATACTGCGAGGTATTTGAAGTGTTTAGTATCTACTAACTCCATATCCTGATTTTTATGACTGATTCATAGTAAGTGCCATTACTAAATTTATTCTAATTTGAGATCATAGTTTCTGATTTAGAAAGGCTTTAGATTGAATACAACAAATATGACGTACAGGGGGTGGGGGCAACCGAGGATCCTCTTTTTACGACGTATCGCCTTATATATATATATATATATATATATATATATATATATATATATATATGTGTGTGTAAGCAAATATATGGATATAGATCCGACAGTATGAAGAAAAATATACTGAAAAAACAAACAAAAAATCCTAATATGCGATTATGTTGTTTTAATATTTAATGTCAACGTCGGACGTTTCGGTCTAATAGACTATCTTCAGGACATATTCATAAAACATAATTAACATAGACCATATACAATTCAACATGAAAAAGACGATGGACATAAAAGCAATACCAATCCAAAAAGATAACTGAAATCTTTTATAAGATCATCGTTTCGTTTAAATATGAGCATATTAGGATTTTTGTTTGTTTTTTCAGTATATTTTTCTTCATATATATATATATATATATATATATATAGAGAGAGAGAGAGAGACAGACAGACAGACAGACAGACACTGGGTTGTAGATTAATATGCTTTCGTTTTTATTATTATTATTTCATTTAGATTCCTCGGCTAGTTTCGGCCAACATGGTCATCATCAGTAGAAGAAATATTTTGACTTGCTGGTAGCAGTGAACAACATAAATGAATATCTTGATGGAGAAAATGAACTTTTGTCTGTAGCTTTCATTTGTTTTTTTATTTTTTTTATCTTTTTAACATGAATCTTTTAACATTCCTTGTGTTGGTCAAACAGTCTCTTTTAAGTTGTTATTTGAGATAAGAGCTGGATGGAACCATGCTGCTCTGAACTCCCTTGGTCAGTTTGACAGTTTTATTGGTTTCTGGAGAGGGGGTGTGTCTCTGTTAAGTGTGTTGTGTGTGTGTGTGTGTGTGTGTGTGTGTGTGTGTGTGCGTGTGTGTGTGTGTGTGTGTGTGTGTTATTTGGTTATTTGGAGTGAGTGAGTATGATATGTGTAAGAGTGTATATTGCTGTGTGTGTGTGTTATTATTTGGCTCATTAGGGAGTGAGTGAATATGATGTGTGTAAGTGTGTATGTTCGTGTCGGTGTGTGTATAAGTGTGAGGCCTCAACACCTTCGTAAGCATGTCTGTTTGTGTGGGGGAGAAATGTGTGTAGGTTTTGATTT